TCCTGTAGCCCCAGCTGGCCTGGAACTCACTATGTAGACCAGGCTGGCCTTGAACTCATAGAAAACCGCCTGCCTCTGCCTCCCGAGTGCTGGGATTAAAGGCATGTGCCGTCACACCCAGCTTTTTTTGTATTTTTGAGACAGGATCTCCCTGTAGCCCCAGCTGGCCTGGAACTGGATATGTAGATCAGGCTAGCCTCAAACTCACAGAGATCTGCCTGCCTCTGCTTCCAGAGTGCTGGGCTTAAAGGTGTGTGCCACCTAACCCTAGCCTTCTAGCCTCTTCTTTTTAAATGTTTGGTTTGATACATTGTTTTCATCTGAAGTTCAGAGGTAGAGTCTAAGGAAGAATAACAATAATACATCAATAACACATTTTGGTCATTGCATTTTAGAAGTAGGAGTAGGGAAGTGATTCTTGAAGCCTCTGGTAGGTAGAATTGTTGGACCTGTTTATTGTTCTAAGAAACTGTCAAATTGATTTTCACAGTGACCAAGTGGCCTCACATTCCTACTAACTAGCAGTGTCTGAATGTCCAGTTTCTCCATGTCTTTCCTGACATTCCTCTTCTTGTCCAAGTTCTAGCCATCCTAGTTGAAGTGAAGTGGTGTCTTACTACAGTTTTGATTTTCATTTTCTTTATGACTAAGGATGTTGAGTGTGTTTTTGTGTTCTGTTTGTTTGTTTGTTTTGGGAATAGTCTCACTATGTAACCCAGACTGGCCTCAAACCCATGGCATTCGTTCTGCCCCATTCCTCACAAGTGCTAGGATTACAGGCATGTACTACCATGCCAAACTGTTTTGTGTTTTTTTTTTTTTTTTTTGCCTTTTTGAGACAGGGTCTCCCTGTAGCCCCATCCATCCTGGAACTCACTGTGTAGACTAGGCTGGCCTCAAATTCACAGAGATCCCCCTGCCTCTGCCTCCCAAGTGCTGTGACTACAGGCATGCGCCACCACGCCTGGTCAGTTTTGTGTTCTTACTAGCCATTTTTCTATCTTCTTTGGAAGAATGTCTATTTAAGTCTTTTGCCATTTATTTGTTTATTTGTTATGGGAACTGAATTTAGGGCTTTGCACATGCTAGGCAAGTGCTACATCACTGAACTAAATTCACAGTAAGACATTTTTAAAGTTTTCTCTTCGTTATTGAGTTGTAAGAGTACTGTATATTTTCTAGATACTAAGCCCTTATTTGAGGATGCATGATTTGCAAATACTTTCTTCCCTTCTGAATTGCCTTTTTACTCTTCTAAAATTAAAAAAAAAAAAAAATAGCTGGGCGTGGTGATGCATGCCTTTAATCCCAGCACTTAGTGGGTAGAGGCATGCAGATCTTTGTGAGTTCAAGGCCAGCCTGGTCTACATAACGAGTTCCAGGACAGCTGGGAGACCCTGTCTCTTTTCAAAAAGACAAAAAAAAATTTTTTTGTTTTTATTTTATGTGTATGAGTGTATTGCCTGCAAGTGAGTGCACCCATATTGTGCAATGCTGTGGAGGTCAGAAGAGGGCTTTGGGTTCCCCTGGAACTGGAGTTAAGGATGGTTTGTAGCCACCATGGGGGTGCTGGGAATCCAACCCAGGTCCTCTGCAAGAGCAGTCAGTGCTCTTAACTGCTGAGCCATCTCTCTAGCCCCTTAAAAATTTTTTAAAAATAATTTATTTTTATGTGTATGAGAGTGTATTGTCTGCTTGTATGTAAGTGCACCTGTGTTGTATAGTGCCTGCGGAGGTTAGAAGAGGAAGTCAGATTCCCTGGAATTCAAGTTACAGATAGTTACTAGCTGCCACGTGGGTGCTGGGAACCAAACCCAGGTCCTCTGCACAGCAGACAGTGCTATTAACCACTGAACCATCTGTCCAGCCCTGTGCCTTTTTACTCTTTTTTTTTTTTTTTTTTTTTTTTTTTTTTTGTCTTTTTGAGAAAGGGTCTCCCTGTAGCCCCAGCTGTCCTGGAACTCTCTGTGTAGATTAGGCTGGCCTTGAACTCAGAGATTTGCCTGCCTCTGCCTCCCAAGTGCTGGGATTAAAGGCGTGCGCCACTCTTGATAGTGTATCCTTTGATACAAAGAAGATTTTATTACCTTTAAACAGATGGACAGACGGGCATGCATGCATGCGCGCGCGCACACACACACACACACACACACACACACACACACACACACACACACACTATGGCGATTGAATCCAGAGTGTGCTGAACAGGATGTAAGAGTTACATAACCAGCTCCAAGATTTATTTGTA